TGATATACCGAGTAATATATGCAACAGAACACGAAATATGCAACGAAACACAAATATTTTTAACAAAACACCTAACGTGAACACATAACGATTATATACAATTAAATAGTTAAATAAACCATCACCATGAAAAACGGAAAAAAACAGACATCGTACAATATGCATCTGGCGCCATAAATTACCCTTATATTTCAAAACTTTAATCTGCAAACCTGCGGTAAAGAATCATGTACCCAATCGAACCAACACACAACACAAACCCTCTGCTACGTGACGATGAAAACCCATACCTTCTTGCGGCTGAATCTTAAAAAAACACACTCAATTTTTAGCAGATTGATATCTGTGATATCTTCTTCACTGGCGTGTTGTATATATTAACGGGATGAGATTATGATACAGTTAATCTCAATCTGGAACGTGATTGATACGTGATCCCTAATTTAAAGGGACGTGATATTAATTAAAATATGTAACCCCACAAAACGTCACAAACGTTCTGTTAATAATAAGGGTAATATGGGATTATTTAAAAAAAAAATCCCTTATTTCATATATTTTACCAAACGGGGGATTTAGTTACGAAAAAAATATTAGGCTCGTATTCTATATCTAATTAAGTTTTTTTTAAGGGACTTGCAGCATATTACCCCTATTATGTAAGCTAGTGAGGGGGCTATCTCAAATAACCCACCCTAATATCATATAGTTAAACCTCTATACATTAATACAGTTGAGACCATCAAAATTTTATTAATTTAGCGAAATATTAACTTATCGATAAATTAATAATTATTAATTTATATATTAAATAACCACTTATTAATATATGAAATTACTTTTATTATTATTTTCAATAAATATATTTATTTTTTTATTTTTTTTAAGTTTATATTATTCATTGTACTATTAGTCCAATATACTATCGAGTTCGTTTCACAAACAAAAGCTCTTAAAGCAGCAATGGTATATAACGATTTATGTTGAATTATGAGAAAACTATACCGAAACTTTAACCATGTTAAGAAAAGTGAGGGACGAGATTGATGGTAATGTGAACTTCAACAAGAACAAGCGACAACTAAATTATATTGTGTTAAGCCTTCATAGATCTATAAAATAAAATATGTATTGTACCATGTAATTTAAGAATTATTTTTATGCATTATTAATTTGTATATTATATGGGGTTTCTTAAAATTTTCGAATGTGTATTATCTTATAAATTTAGCGAATTATTAATTTAGCACGTTGTCCCCAAGTCGGGACCGAGAAAATTTATTTTTAAGCGAGGTTATTAATTTATCAAAGTTCCACTGTATTTGTAAAACTTTTTAATTTATATGCACAGTAGAACCTCGATAAATTAATACCTGATAAATTAATAACCTCATTTAAATAATATTTTTTCCAAGTTCCAACTATGGGACAAGTGCTAAACTAATAATTTGCTATGTTTTTAAGATAATACACATTCAAAAATAATGAAGAAGCCCGATATAATATATAACTTAATAATGCTTAAAAATAATTCTTAAATTACATAGTACAATATATATTTTATAGATGTATGAAGGATTAATAAAATATGATTTAATTATCACTTGTTTTTTGTTGAAATGAACATCAACATCAATCTCGTTCCTCATTTTTATTAACATGGTTAGAACTTTTGGTAAAGTATTTTCATAACTTAACAAAAAATTGTTCAATGCCATTGCTGCTTTAAGAGCTTCCGTTCGAGTAACGAACTCTATAGTACATTCAAAGTAACAGTACAATGAATGATATATACGTAAAAAAAATGTATTTATTGAAAATTATAATAATAATAATTTAATAAACTAATAATTTACTACTTAATATATAAATTAATAATTATTAATTTATTGATAAATTAATATTTCGCTAAATTAATAGAATTTTGATGGTCCACCAGATGTTCAATATATAATTTTCCTTTTTATCTCTTGTTTGGCAGCCGTTTTAGTTTTAGTTATTTAAACACCAAACTCATCCACAATCATAATTCACTACATCTATTTTTTTGGGGCTCTTTGATATAACCCCTCAATACTTCTTTAAATAGGAAGAGACGACCCAAACTATTTTGCACCATTTGAGAAAAACCCTTTACTTTTTCCTAATTTCAGCCACCCATTTTTTCCAATCATGCCCCTACCTCATTTGACTTTTTTTTTTTTTTTTTAATTTTATTAATTTTTTTTAACTTTTTTTCTTTCTTTATCAGGTATATTAATCGACTATGAGGTATAAGCATAGTCGGTCAAGAAACTAACTACAAAAAACATACACAACTATGTAAAAACAAAAATCGACACTATTTTTACAAAAACAAAAAATATACAAACATTATAATTGATTTATACAATTGGAAGCAATAAACAAAAAATCCAAAAAAAAAATAAAAAAAATAAAAATTGGAGTCGATTAATCTTAATTGACTACCAGTGCATAGTCGATTAACTTTAATCGACTATTGAACATGTACATAGTCGATTAAATCTCCAGCCTGTGCGAATTTCTCAATCCGTGCCATCCTCCGCCCGATTTACCAAAAACACACGAGATATGCCTCTCTATGCCGTAGCAACACCACACCATCCCATAATCCTTGAACTTCATCCATTCCATCCAACACCTTGCGACTTCATCCCACCCACAATCCTTGAACCCAAACAAACCAATTTTCATTCTCCAACTAGATATAGATTGAAACCAAAAATAGAATATAGATCTAGATAGAAGCCAACTATACCGAAGAAACAAATTTAGAGCTACTTAAAAGACATGGTATTCCGGCGTTGATGACTTGAGACATGATCTTCACTCTCTACCGCCGCTGCCATTGTCCGTCTCCGCCGCTGCCATGGTCTTCACGTCTCCGTCACTGATGACTTGATATATGTTCCTCCTCCGCCGCTGGTGTTTTTGTGAGTGAAGAGAATGGAAAAGATAATGAACGTTGAAAATTAGGGCTGAGTATGTATGAACTTTATAAGGGTATTAGTTTGGGGATTATTAAAAATTCATTTTGCTGGAAATATACCTAAAAGGGTTTTCTCAATTTATTTTTGAGAGAGGTGTTTCCTTAACTATATTTTCTAGATGAGGGAGCTGTTACTAAGTTTTCCATTGTTTTTATCCCTTATTTCACACCCTATTTTCTGTAATTATCTCCTATTTTGCCTCCTATTTTCTTTATATACTTTCATATCAAATCTATGAGATTGTTATTGATCTAATGACATTTACCTTCATTTTTTTTTACTTTCTTTATTGTTCATTCTAATTTTTTTAACTTTTTATTTCTCCAACATATCTGTAATTATTTTTGTTTCTCCAATTATTAATTTATTTATTTGACTTTGTTTATTATTTTCCTTTCTTTGTCAAAACCATCTTTGTAATTATTTCCTTTCTTCCTTTTATTTTTCTACGAAGATGCTAATGACATAATATCTTTGTAACTTTCTTTGTCCTCTTCTAATTATAGATGACTTTTCATTTAATATTTTCTTCAATTACACCCATTTTTAATGTTATGTGTTTAAATGATTATTTTCTTCACTTGTGGAATGTGACCCCATGCACCGCACAAGTGTAAATTCAATTATGAGGACTTTAAACAAATCAGAAATATTCTCTAAACATTAACCTACACAAAAACCTAATTAGAGAAATTTAAGCAAAATGATAAATATTCTCTAGACATTAAACACTATAAATTATTTTTAGGGACTCCAAGTTCATAATTCCCAAACCTTTTCTTTAAGCAATAAATCCTAAAATTTAATCTCTACTAAATGACCTTATTTATCAATTATGTATTTATTTATTTCTTATTTTTCTTTTATGCAAGATAGTTCCGAATGTCAATTTGGTTTATTTTACTTTATTCAAAAGCAAACCCTCAGATGTAGGTATGGGCCATATGGCCGCTAAATTGTACTCCAAACTTCTGAATATTTTTTTTCATTGTCTAATACTATGTCCATGTAAGTAGGTTAGAATGCATAGCATAACATATTGATTAACAAAATAAAAATGAGAAAATAAATAACTTAGAAGTGGTCAACGACCAAGCTACTCAAACAAGTGTAGTAGAATATAATAAATTCGTTGAAATTAAAGTTAAACAAATTGTGGTCGTTGGAACATTGGTCAACGGGACGTGTAATTAAAATTAAATAAAATTAAATATTGTTTCCTAAATACTTGCAGTCAACAAATGAGCAATAAGATCCCTATATTATTTTAAAGGGGAAATTAGCTAGACACCCCTTATTCTGAACTTATATAGGTAGAGATCCAATTTGATAGATGGATATAGGCATAGGTGCTTTGACCCAAAAAAATCTATATATAATATAAAAAGAGGATCTACGCCCTCAATGATTGACATGTGGCAAATGATGATGTTATTTATCAAAATTGCTTAGTTGTAGTTCAATTGATGAGGTGGATTCTTCAATTGGTGAGTTGTCAAATTTATTTTGGTATGTATTTAAGTTTGATGTGTCTAATCATAATTAGGCCCATAAACCTAATTAAGATTAGGCCCAAATTGCCCTAAATTAATCTAATTGTGTGAAAACTCAATTAGATTACTTTTTACCTATAAAAGTAACAACACATTGTCCCACATCGGATTTTTACAAAAGTCCTACCTATTCATCCACCTATAAATGTATGTGTCATTTCACATAGAAAGGTACACTCTAATTTGGCAATTAATAATAATTATTTGCTTATATTAATACATCTTCTGACTTGAGCGTCGGAGGATAATCGCCGGGCCAAACCCGGCGTGTCATCTAGTGTTTTAATTGTTTTGTAGGTTAACGAACGGAGCAATCCCTTCGACTACCTCGGACACGTGGCAGTGACTCACGGCATTCTCTATCTTTGTGGGCTCAAGGACACTTGGGTTGCCCAATTGGCATTTGAGCAGCATCATTTTGGCGCCGTCTGTGGGAATGCAGACTCGATCACGTGACACGGGAGGAGGTGGTCAAGGTAGCCTTAATCCGCCCCAACAAGGAGCCGGCGGTGGGATCCCGGATCCGCCTCGAAGAAAGAGGACGGCGGGAACAACCAACGCGGCGGGACCTTCGGTGCCGATCATCCAAATGACGACGGAAGAGTTGCAAGCAATGATGGACGAGACCGCGGCCAAGGCAGCGGCTTGGGCAGCGGCGGACGCAGTAGCTCAATACATTAGCGCCCAAGGCCATAGTGATTTCGAAGAGCCGATTCTTTCAGAGAGCGACCCCTCGGAACCCGCTCACGTCCACGGGACCCCGCCCATTGTAGAACTCCACGACTCTGAGGAGAGGGTATCGCTTAGCGACCGAAGCATTTCTTCAGAACGGGCTCCCCGTAGGTATGCCCCGCCCCGGTCGCATCAGCATAGCTCAGCCTCGGACCAGGCTCCTCGAGGAGAGACGCGCGGTCGGTCACCACGGCCCCTTAAGCAACGGGCTCCTTCAAGGGAGAGAGCGGCGCGAGGCCGCCGAGAAAGAAGTGGATCATCTCGGCCAAGTGTTACACGCCATGAGCCTCGAGGCGATAGGCATCGCGGACGATCCTTTCGCCGAGGCAACTCCCCACGAGACGAACATGGGAGTAGGTACACTTGGGCTGAAGAGACGAGAAGGCACCGCGAGAATGGTAACAAGCGTAATTCGAGAAGCCCGCGACAAGAAGCTTCAAGATCAACCGCCCGATTTGGAACGCTCCCCGCCCGAATAAGCCCTTTTATTCCGGCTATCATGGAGGAAGTTTTACCGCTCGGATTTAGGATCCCCAATCTGCCCCAATTCGATGGAACCGGAGATCCTCAAACTCACCTTAACAATTTCTTCGCTAAGATCGACCTTTACGGCCTCAGTGATGCCGCCTACTGCAAAATCTTCCAAACTACCTTAACTGATCAAGCACAAACTTGGTTCAACGGTCTGCCAGGAGGATCATTGGATGGCCTGGGCCAGTTATCGGAACGTTTCCTTAGCCAGTATTCCATCAACAAGCGATACGCCAAAACCGGATCATACCTCTTCAAAGTCAAACAACGCGAGGGAGAACCATTGAGAGACTATGTACAGCGGTTTGTCAAAGCGGTGCACGAGGTACCCAATGTTAACCACGACCTACTAGCCGATATACTGCAACATAACTTGAGGCACGTTCGCTTCCAAGAATCCATAGCAGGACGACCCCCACAAACTCTGGAGGAGCTTCTGAACCGAGCGGAGAAGTTCATCCGGATAGAAGAGGCCGTAGAGATGGGACTTCCCGTGAAAAGGAAGCGCGAAGAAGAGCGCCATGAGGCAAAAAGGAAGGAAGAAGGACGTTCGATCCACGCCCCTACCTACCCAAAGTTTACTCCCCTAAAAGCAAAACTCATGGAAGTATGGATGGTAGCGGAGCAGAAAGGTCTAGTCCAGCCCCCGAGACAGATGAAAGAAAATCCGAAAAGGCAAAAATCGGAAAAATACTGCGAGTACCATCGAGATCGGGGACACACTACCGACGAGTGCTTCCAACTAAAGCAAGAAATCGAGAGGCTAATTAAAAAAGGGCACCTGGGAGAATTCGTGGATGCGCCACGACACCAAAAATTCCAAAACAAACCCCGCTTGCAGCATAAAGGAGAACGTCCCAACCCTAGGAAAGATCGAGAGGATGACAATCTTCCAACTCAAGGAATAATTGCAGTTATTTCCGGAGGACCCTCGGGCGGTGACACTCCTAGCTCACGACGAGCATCAATTCGGGCAGCAAGAGGCTCGTATTCTACGACAGAACGTCCAGAGGGACATATTTACCACGTTCACCACCCAAACTCAGAGGTTACATTTAGCGACGACGATCTCAGAGGACCACGTGGTGAACACAACGACGCTTTAGTCATCTCTGCATCAATTTCTAATTATTTGGTGAAGAAGATTTTGGTGGACGGTGGTAGCTCGGCTGATATTATATATTACGACGCCTTCGAAAAACTAGGGATTGCCAATGCAAAACTCGCGCCTGTGAAAACACCCCTAGTAGGTTTTACGGGACACGCCGTCGAAGCTGTGGGAGAAATTTCTTTAGTCTTGTCCTTGGGATCATTCCCGTGCCGAGCTACAAACACGGTCAACTTCCTAGTCGTCAAAGCACCGTCGACTTATAACGTCATTTTGGGGCGGCCGAGTATGAACCTTTTCAGAGCAGTCCCGTCAACCTATCATATGAAGTTGAAGTTTCCTACGGCTAGCGGAGTTGGAGAAGCCGTAGGCGATCAACGCATAGCTCGAGAATGCTATGCGAACACTTTGAAGGCACCTCAGGTTCGGAACAAAAAGCAAGTGGGAGGAGGAGATGACACTCCCAATTATCTGAAGAGAAAATGGGTGATGGCTGTCAAAGACGACTTCATCACTCCCTCGACCAATCAAGATGCCGATAGCACAAGACTCGCAGCAGTAGAAGAACTGAAAAGTGTAGAGTTGATCCCGGGCGATCAAGATAAACTACTCCGAGTGGGAACCAACCTTGAGCCCGAAGCAGAAACAAGGCTCGTGGAGTTCCTTCGGAAAAACGGTGATGTTTTTGCATGGAGAGCGGAAGATCTCGAAGGAATTCCCCCATCTAAAATTGTTCATCGGCTTGACGTTGACCCGAAACTCAAGCCGGTAAAACAAAAGAAAAGGACTTTTGGCCCGGAACGTAATAAACACATCAAAGAGGAGGTCGACAAACTCCTTGCGGCTGGTCAAATACGTCCGGTTCAATATCCCGAATGGTTGTCAAATGTTGTCCTAGTGGCGAAATCAGGGGGAAAATGGCGTTTATGTGTGGATTTCACTAACCTGAACAAAGCTTGTCCTAAAGATCCTTTCCCTCTCCCAAGGATCGATCAGCTGGTGGATTCCACCTCAGGATGTGAGTTGTTAAGCTTTTTAGACGCATACCAAGGGTACAATCAGATCCAACTGGCCCCTGAGGACCAAGAGAAAGCGAGTTTCATTACCGACCAAGGCATTTATTGCTACAAAGTAATGCCATTCGGCCTAAAAAACGCAGGAGCAACCTATCAACGACTGGTGAACACCATGTTCGCTAATCTAATTGGGCGTAACATGGAAGTGTATATCGATGATATGTTAGTTAAAAGCGCTAAGGCCGAAAACCACTTGAAGGACCTCGAAGAGTGCTTCGCTATTCTCAGAGAATACAAAATGAAACTAAATCCTTCGAAATGCTCATTCGGAGTGAAGGGCGGCAAATTCTTAGGCTATATGATCTCGCAACGAGCTAGTGGACAACGCAAATTCTTAATTGTAGCAGTTGACTATTTCACCAAGTGGGTGGAAGCGGAGCCCTTGGCTAAAATAGCCGAGGCCGACGTCATTCGGTTTCTATGGAAGAATGTGGTATGCCGATTTGGGATACCACGAGCCCTAATATCAGATAATGGAACTCAATTCTGCGGAAGCAAGGTCGCGGACTGGTGTGAAGGACTATCAATCAAGCAATTCTTCACTTCAGTAGGAAACCCACAAGCTAACGGCCAAACCGAAGTTACAAACCGCACAATTCTGCAACACCTCAAAGCCAGATTAGGAGAAGCAAAGGGTGCCTGGGTTGAGGAACTCCCTAGTGTCTTATGGGCTTATCGTACAACTCCCCGAACCTCCACCGGTGAATCACCTTTCAATCTTGCTTATGGAATGGAAGCCGTCGTACCAGCTGAAATAGGGCAACCGTCATGGCGGATATCCAATTACTCAATCCAGCATAATGATCTGGCAATAAGGGCAAGTTTGGATCTTGTGGACGAGGTCAGAGAGGGCGCTACTATGCGAATGGAAGCTTACAAAGCTCGAATGGCGCGAGCCTATAACCAAAGAGTCAAACCAAGATCATTTCAGGTAGGAGACTTGGTACTCCGAAGAGTCGGGATTTCAAAGGCTGTCGGAAAGTTGGATCCAAAGTGGGAAGGACCCTACAAAGTTACTCAAGTGGTCAACGCCGGAGCTTACCGGCTTCAGCACATGGATGGCAATCAAGTTCCAAGGACTTGGAACATAGGGAATTTGAAGAAGTATTTCGCTTAGCACTTTAGGCGAGCAATTTTTCTTTGTTTTTAATAAATCAGGAGCATATCGCTCGCTGTAACGCTTAAGCTAGGGAATAAGTCGGGAGCATACCGCTCGCCGCAACGCTTTTAAATTATGTAATAAGTTGGCAGCATATCGTTTGCCACGTGAAGCTAAATAAAACATTTTCGTTTGAGGCATACCGCCCACTCTAATCTGCGACCATTTTCCTTTGTGTCATGACAATTTATTTTTGTTTATTCTATTGAAATGCATTAGTATTTTTATTATTATTACTATGAAGTGCTTCAATCAAAGGGATGACCACTCGACTCCCAAACAACAAACAACAAAAAAAAAAAAAAGGGGTCCTTGCTAAAGGGGAAGATAACAAGGATCACAAGGGTCTGGCCAACTCGAACTTTGTTATCTCACTCCCCAAAGCACAAGTTGATAGAGAAATCAAATTCTCAACGACTCCGCAGCCCTAAATTATGAAAAGAAGGCAAAAATGCGGAGCCCCTACATAAAAACTTAGGGGACTGATCATCCACTAAGTACCAAAAAAGCACGAAAATTGCGAAATGGGAATAAAACAAAAGTAAAATTCCATTCATGAAGCAAAAACGTGCAAATAAATAAAAAAAAAAACATAGAAAAGACTAAAGTCTTAGAAATACGTCGTAAAGGAAAATACTACTACTCTCAAGCGAGTAGAAACTGATAAACGACTACACTACTAGGCAGTCGGGTTAACGCTAGCATTCTCAGCTCCAGCAGACTCGGGCATCTCATCAAACTCATCGCCCTCAACCAGGGCGCCAATTTTCTCCGCCCCAATTTCTGGCTCAAGTTCCAAAACGCTCGGCTCTATCTCCCGTAGGATAGCCTCTGGGACAAGCTTTGTTGCACGAACTTGACTGCGGATATCCCGCACGATCTCCGCAAAAAACCCACTAGCATAACTATCCCGTAGCTCGATATAAGATTCGCTCCCTAAGAACTTATCAACCACCATCAAACCCAAAGGCGTTTTCAAGACGTCATTCGACCCCTTATGGGCTTCCATGAAAGAAAGCGCGTCGGTCTTCTCATTCTTCAAAGATAGGCTCAGATCCTTAATCCTAGCTTCGGCCTTCAGACGTGCCGATTTTTCATCATCCGCACGTGTCACCAAGCTCTGACATTTCTTCTCCAAGGCACTCAGCTTGCCTTTTTCTTCATCCAGAGACTTCTTCAAACCTTCAATCTCTGAGCGGAGGGAGGCATTGACACCTTGAACACCCGCATACAACGAATTAACGTTCAACTTCTCTGCTTGCATCTTGGCATGCTCAGCCTCCAAGCCCCTCCCGCGATCAATAATCAAGGGCACGAAAGTCATAGTCTAAAAAATAAAAAAATAAATAAAAAAATAAAAGGGGTAGGAGTTATTATTATTAATAGTAATAATAAATCAAATATAGAGGTGCATGATAAATCCGATACTAACCCGAGCAAAGGAGGACGCCAACCCTTCGATCATCTCGTCTAGAGGTTTCCCGGCAAGACGAGTCGAATCAAACTCCGTCGGGAAACCCATTACCTTCTCCATGGCCAAGGCGCTATCAAGAACGTCAAACACCGAACCACCATTTTGCGCCCTATCAACACCAGCAACAAAATTCCCTTTCCATGCATTAACAGGCGGTAGAACCAACTCCTCAACTCCTAAGGGGCGAGGCCTTTTTTCACGCACGACGATAGGGGCGACACGAGTATCCCCGGACGCGGAGGGGGACTTGAGCTCGCTCAAAGGCAGCGGGGGCGCACTCACAATGGCAAGACGACCCTTGTCGGCGGATTTGGGATCCGAGACTCCAGCGCTCGACGATAGGGGCGACACGAGTATCCCGGACGCGGAGGGGGACTTGAGCTCGCTCAAAGGCAACGGGGGCGCACTCACAATGGCAAGACGACCCTTGTCGGCGGATTTGGGATCCGAGACTCCAGCGCTCTTCTTCACAGCCACCTCCGGACCACGGGACGATCCCACCCCATGGACTGGCTTTTTCCCACTACTTCGATCCTCTGCAGTGCCTCTTCCCGACTCCCGTGCCACGGGCTTTGAGGCCGGAGGTGTGTTTCGAGACACAGGCTTCGAGGCACCATTGTTCATGCAACGACGTTTGAAATCATTATAGCTCATCGTCTCACCTGCAGAACACGAAAACAGCAAATACAAGAATATTAGTTTCAAGAAAACTATAAAGAAAGAGGACGGAGCAATCAATACAGCACAACTCCTCTACCCTTAGAAAATGAAGTCAAAGGGTCGAAGAAATAATCGAAAAAACCCATTCCGATACAATCCATTTTGAGTCTCGAGTGTTCATTACTCCACTCAACGGGACGCACTTCACCCCATACAGAAGGAACTTCCCAATCATTCCGCACGTATAGGAACCACTCCTTCCAACTCCCCCATTTATTCTCATTTTTCTTCAAAAACTTGCATTTCGACCGAGGATGAAAATGAAAATTAGGCGCTTTGTCCCTCAGCGGTTTCACAAGAAACATGGAGTGAAATAAATTCGCCGAAATTGGAAAACCCTCGGACTCAGCGCGATGACAAAACCCTTTGAAGTAAAGAAATGCGTTCGGCGTTAATTGACTGAGGCTCACCTTCACATCTCGACAAATTTGAACAAGAACCGGATGAGGTGGCAAAGTAAATCCAACCGAAAATGATGCAAGGAATACCGTAAAGTAGCCATCAGGAGGGGCATAACATCTCTCCCCCTTACACGGAACCGATATCTCAATAACATGCTCGACACGTAGATAGTCCAGAATCTCGGGCAGTTGACCAACTCTAAAGGAAGAGTCGAAATTTAATTCGGCACATATTCCTTAATATTCCTCAGAAACACTACCGCCGGAAAAATCGGTTAATTCTTCTTCCTCATCGGTCAACACGCTCTCGTCCACCTAGAATTCACGTCTTATCTTCGACCCACGAACCACGGAATTTTTTAGAGAAAAGTTCGTACCAAACACATCAATCCGTCGAGACCACGCCCAAGTCTCAGGATCGCTACATTCTAACTCCACGGAACGAAACTCCAGGCCCACATCAGGGTTGGGAGCTGAAACACGGGGTTCGGCGGAAAAAACGGACTCCGAACGGCCCTGCACGCGCTCCACACGCGCCGGAAACGGCCCGGACGCGCCTCCACGCGCGGAATAGCTCCCAGCAGCTGTTCCCACGCGCCCCACGCGCTCCTGGTGGTCCCCTCCCACGCTCTCCACGCGCGCCACGCGCTCCACGCGCCCGGCATTCCCAGGCCCCCCCTCCGTGTGACGTCACGCTGACGTCACACCGCACTCCCGCCCGAGTTACCCCGGTCGTCCGAGCTGACTCGTCCGATTCCCCTGACCGAGTTGACTCACTCAACTGAGTCGACCCACCCGACCGAGTTGCCCAGCCCGACCGGTCCGACCCGCCTGCCCGAGTCGACTCACCCATCCGACTCGCTCGATCCGCCCGAGTAGACCCCCCTGCCCGAGTCGACTCACCCACCCGACTCGCTCGATCCGCCCGAGTTGACCCGCCCGACCGCCCAGCTGCACAGTTTTCCGCGCTCGGTGACGTCACGCCTCCCAGGGCTGACGTCACCCCCTCCTTTCTGGCACGGAATTCAATGCCATAGCCGCCAGTACTGGAATTTTCCTCGAACAACGAACCATTACACTGTTTCGCACATAACTTCTCGCTCGCAACTCCGAATTTCACAAAATTGGTACTCCTGGACTCCAAATTTCGACCTCTTTCCACCCGGCTATCAAGATTTTTCGAATTCCCATCTTCAAAATTATCGGATTCCGAATGAACTCCACATAGTTCGTCGCTAGACTCGTCCAACAACCTTAGACCCGACATTAAATTCCTACGCCTATATCAAACGCAATTTCGCGGCTCCAAACGACAAAATACGGGTAAAACCAACGACATAAGGACTCGAATAAAAAAGTGAGGATTTGCAAAAAATATTTATACCTTTGGAAGTTCGCCAATTATTTTTAAATCTCGCTAGCACAATTCTGGAAGAAGAAACCACAAGAATCCAAAATAAAAAACCCTACAAGGGCATGGATGAGCTTATATACTACTTCCAACTAGGCTCACAAGCCCATGACCCAACTTGGAAGTGGGGGGCTTAATGATGTGTCTAATCATAATTAGGCCCATAAACCTAATTAAGATTAGGCCCAAATTGCCCTAAATTAATCTAATTGTGTGAAAACTCAATTAGATTATTTTTTACCTATAAAAGTAACAACACATTGTCCCACATCGGATTTTTACAAAAGTCCTACCTATTCATTCACCTATAAATGTATGTGTCATTTCACATAGAAATGTACACTCTAATTTGGCAATTAATAATAATTATTTGCTTATATTAATACATCTTCTGACTTGAGCGTCGGAGGATAATCGCCGGGCCAAACCCGGCGTGTCATCTAGTGTTTTAATTGTTTTGTAGGTTAACGAACGGAGCAATCCCTTCGACTACCTCGGACACGTGGCAGTAACTCACGGCATTCTCTATCTTTGTGGGCTCAAGGACACTTGGGTTGCCCAACTGGCATTTGAGCAGCATCAATAATAATAATAATAATAATAATAATAATAATAATAATAATAATAATAATAATAATAATAATAATAATAATAATAATAATAATAATAATAATAATAATAATAATAATAATAATAATAATAATAATAATAATAATAATAATAGTTACATTGATGAATATTAGTAATTAAATGACCATAAATCATACTGTTTTCATACATAACTTTTTTCTTTATTGTTTAAAAAAAAAATTGGTCATTTACTATTAATTTTTTTTAGCATGTAAACCATATAACTTTTGTAGTTTGGTTGTAGATTTTGCAATATATATTTTTTGTTGAGAATACTATACAATGTCTTATGGATTTGTGTAACGTAGTTTACGAAATATAGGTTTATTTTAATTCGTATTTACATTTGAATTTCAATTTGCTTAGTATTTGAATTTCATTTTATGTTAGTTGTTATTCTCTTGTATTTATTTGAGTGTTAAAAATGAAGTAATTAAAAAGAGAGAGAGAGTTTAGTGATTTCACGTAAATTCACACGAAATGCAAGTTTTACACGAAATGCAAGCTTGTATTTCACGTAAATTAACACGAAATGCAAGCTTGAATTTCACGTAAATTTACACGAAATAAAAAAAAAATTGTAAAAAAAAACGCATTTCGTGTTGTATTGCACGAAAGGAAGTGTTTCTTTTCGTGCAACACAACACGAAATTCATAAAATTGTCGCCAGATAAATGAATCAAATTCATTCTCCTAGTTGGGCTCAGTACTTGTGCTCGTATTCATAAAACACTTAATTAGAGTCTTAATCCAAAAGAAACTAGATTACTGCTCTAATTAGGAGTCTTAATTAATCTATTAATTAAGTATAAATAAGTATAAATAACCCCTCAACGTACGTATAGATAATCAGAGGTGTTCCAACAGAATACCCAAAAAATTGCCTTAAAAAAATAAAAGTAGAAAGACTTTTACAGAACAAAACCTAGCCACCACATATATCACTCATCCGCTCTGCACAGTAAACGAAACAAAAAAGAAAAAAAAAACATGGCAACAGAATCTGTGAAGAAATCATCATCATCAACAAATATTCCGCCGGAGATCATCGAAATTATACTGTCAAAATTATCATCAGTTAAATCTCTTCTTCGATTCAAAGCAGTTTCAAAGTCATGGAATACTTTAATCTCCGATCCTGTATTCATTCAGAATCATCTCCAATCCTCGAATAATTCTCCGAATAATAATCTCTTCATAAGTTCGTATACACGTGGTTCGGATAGTAGAGGGTTTCCTTTGGCAGATTTCGAAGTTAGAAAATCCGACGCCGGAAAAATATCCGAGGAGAATATTCCCAATGGCTACAACTCTATATTATGCGAATGTAACGGCGTTCTACTCTTGGGCAACCACGTTAAATACGCGTTGTGGAATCCATCAATCCGTTGTGAGATGTTTCTCATATACAAATATGAGTTTCATGAAGATTATATAGTGGATTGTGGAATTTGTTATGACCAAATAACAGGCGATTTTAAGGTTGTCTTTATTTTCCCAACGAAATATGCAATTTATTCGTCTAACAACAATTCTTTGACGAAAAAGAATTTAGGAACAAATTACCATACTATTGATGGTACAGGTTCAGGTTTAGGTATATTCGTAGATGGAGCTACCTACTGGATTTTGAGCGACGACACGATTAGTATACACTTAGTGTATTTCGATCCAAGAACCGACGAGATCAAGAGGTTGCAAAAGCCCGAACAACGACAAAGTGATGATGACAAATTTCAGTTAATGAACATCGCTTCTTTGAGAGGAAGGCTATGTTTGTACTTCTACAACAAAGAAGAGAGAATTGCTCAAATCTGGATGAAGGAAAAGGGAATCGATAAATGGAAGGAGTTTATAACCTTTCATAATTTTGAGGCTCCGTATAAGTTGTCTAGACCAATATGTTTGGTTGAAAATAAAGTTGTGATTCAAGTAGAGGAAAACATATATGTCTACTATAACACTAGTACTGATAAGAGTGTTAATAAAGAGTTTGTTCATATTTACGGGGATCGCCGTAAATTGGTTCCATATCGGAATAGTCTCTATTTCCCAACTGGCGTGAGGACGAAGAAAATTAAAGCTCGGCAGTCCAGGTTGAGATTTACCTGAGCTTTTTCTTGGATAGTATGTCAGATTTTTTTTTTTTATTCATTTTTTTTGATAGAATTATATGTCAAGAACCAGACATTGTTTTTTTTTTTTTTGGAGAGAATTATATGTGAGAACCAGACATTGTTTTTGTTTTTGGCTGATTGGCATTTTTCAATAATATATTACTTTTGTCATGCAAATGCCCTGTTAATTATATCACTTTTATATTTTCTTTCTGGTAAGCTAGTCAATGTGATTTTGTTGAAAGAGGATTCTTAAGAAATAAAAAAACCAGCAATTGTATGCTGTCTATGGGTTTCTCCAATGTTGAATGATTGCATATATACGCTCTCTTTTTCGTCTCTAGAAAAAAATTATACCCCTTTTATGTAGAATATATTAATTTAGAATATCCTTCGATGGGGTCACATTCTTTCGGAAGACATTATTCACTATACCACAAAAATACAAGAACAATACTATCGTAACAAGTACACTATCTGATTATCGGAATTCGTTGGGCGACGACTTCAACAATCTTGGAAATTGGAAAATATGTATCGTAAAGGAAATCTTCCAGCCGATGGTTTAGCAAATTTGCTTACAAGCACAAGGAGCAGAGACAGTAGTACTTGGACTCAGTTGATCTTCTTAGCAATATTAGGCACATGTTATATGAGGTTTTAGCATCCGGCACCCCTGTGTAATGTCTAATGGCTAAAAAAGCCCCTGTGTTAAAACAATTTGTAGGAAAATTGAGGTGTTTACCTCAAATGTGGAAAATATTGAAGTACAAATTCCGTGATCGTTTGAAGGAATAAATTATGAATCTACGCTTTGAGTAGATAATTGTAGTGTGTTTAAATGCTCAAATCCAATATGGGATGAATGAGAAATAAATGCACAAAGTAAAGTACTTCAATGAGCTAAAGTGAGCTCAAAGGGCTTGGTGGGAGGTGAAAAGTCACTTGTCCCACATCACGAAAAAAACATTAATGAGAACACCTTAAATAGTGTTAAATGGATAGCTAGAGGTATAATCAAGTGAGGGATCAAGTACCAAACCACACGCGCGCCGCCGCCCGCCCGGACCGAGACCGAGACCGAGACCGAGCCCGTTGGACTTTGGACTTTGGACTTTGGAGTTAAAACACGAAGTGGTGTTTTTGGGCTTAATTAATTAATCTAGCATCATATCCGAACAGGTGGCAGTTTAAACACGAATTGGTGTTTAACCCCTGCGAAAAGACACAATGCTTTTTCAGCTCCTTTCAATTTCTAGAGTTGTGTCTTTTGTAACGCAACTTTCTGAAAACTATAAATACAACCCTAGTTTTCCAGCAATCTCACTCAATCATCCAAGCATTCATAAGCATAAGCATATTCGTTGCATAATATATTTCTTTCGTGTCAATAAAAGTCCAAAACGTCTTTTCGTTCGTTGTGTTCCAGCAGTTGTTGTGCTGCTCTGTTGGAACTGTAAGTCGTTGTATCTTGGGAGACAATTGCCGAAACCGAAGCACTGGTGCGGGGCAATTTTGTCTTAAGGAGAAAGAACAAAGTTCTTGCCTCGACTTTTCTCTGTTTATCTTCAAAAATTCGTATCTCGAAAACCATATATAAATAACAATCTTAAGACAAAATTTTTCTGCTTTCGAGATGGAAAATCAAGGAAACGAAAATGTTGCTGCTGCTGCTGCCGCTGCCGCCGCTGCTGCTGCCGCTTCCGTTCCTAATGTTGCTATCCCTTCTGCTGCTGCAACAATTCCAATGGCTCTACCGATCCACAACTCTGCCCCTGCTCATGGAGAAAGACCGGAAAAATTTACCGGTGTTGAATTCAAAAGGTGGCAACAAAAGATGCTGTTTTACCTTACCACCATGAACCTTCAAGGGTTCTTGCGACAAACTGCTCCTACGGTGGCTGAAGACGACACTGAAGTTCAAAGGAGAAATGCTTATGATGCTTGGTACCACAGTGACTTCCTCTGTCGTAACTATGTCCTCAACGGACTCGACAGTACGCTATACAATGTCTACAACAACTTCAAGACTTCGAAAGAGTTGTGGGACTCTCTCGAAAAGAAGTACAAAACGGAGGATGCCGGCTTGAAGAAATTCATAGTCGGACGGTTCCTTGACTACAAGATGGTGGACTTCAAGACAGTGGTTGAGCAAGTCCAAGAGTTGCAATTGATCCTGCATGAGATTCATGCCGAAGGAATGCAACTAAACGAGTCTTTCCATGTAGCCGCTATCATCGAGAAGCTACCGCCTCTGTGGAAAGATTTCAAGAACTACCTCAAGCATAAGCGCAAGGAAATGCGACTTGAGGACTTGATCGTGAGGCTTCGAATTGAGGAGGACAATCGTCAAGCCGAAGCCAAAACCGTGAAAGGAAAGATGGAGGCAAAAGTGAATTTGGCCGAGCCAAGTGCCAAGAAAAGAAAGGTGACCAAAGGCAAGCCAAATCCAACTAAAAGGTTCAAATGAAGCTGCCACAACTGTGGAAAAATTGGTCACATGGCTCGAGAATGTCGTCAGCAAAAGAAGGGACATCACCAAGCTAACCTCGCCGAGGAAAAAGCTGTCCCTACCGATTTGTCCGATATGGATCTTACCGCTGTGGTGTTTGAAGCCAACTTGGTGGACAATCCTAGGGAGTGGTGGGTGGACACCGGAGCAACGCGCCACATTTGCTCGGACAAAGAGATGTTCTCCTCCTACACACCCGTTGAAGGAAGGAAGCTATTTATGGGAAATTCCGCTACATCAAACGTAGTGGGTGAAGGCAAGGTGGTGCTAAAGATGACTTCCGGCAAAGAGCTTACGCTTGTGGATGTGATGCATGTCCCGGACATTCACAAGAATCTAGTCTCCGGAGCCCTGTTGAGCAAGGCGGGATTTAGGCTAGTGTTTGAGGCCGATAAGTTTGTTTTGACCAAGAATGGTCTGTTTGTAGGCAAAGGGTACCTCGAGAAAGGACTCTTCAAAATGAATGTAATGGCTGTGAAGCGTAATATGAATAAAATAAATGCTTCTTCTTACTTGCTTGAGTGTTCTAATTTATGGCATGATAGATTAGGACATGTGAATTTAAGTACATTACAAAGGCTAGTTAAATTGGACTTATTGCCTAAAATGGAAATAAATTCACAAAATAAATGTGAAATTTGTGTTGAGGCAAAAATGGCCAAAGCACCGTTCCATAAAGTGGAAAGAAATACTGCACCTCTAGAATTAATTCATACGGACATTTGTGACTTGAAATTTGTGCAAACTAGAGGGGGCAAAAAGTACTTCATAACTTTTATTGATGATTGCACAAGGTACTGTTACGCATATCTTCTTAACAGTAAATATGAGGCTTTTGAAGTATTTAAAACTTACAAAAGTGAGGTAGAGAATCAACTTGGTAAAAAGATACAAATGATTCGAAGTGATAGAGGAGGAGAATATGTTGCTCCATTTGAAGAATTTTGTGCCTCTAATGGTATAATTCATCAAACGACAGCACCATACTCACCACAATCTAATGGAGTTGCCAAGCGAAAAAATCGAACTCTTAAGGAGATGATGAACGCAATGCTAATTAGTTCGGGCTTACCCCAAAATATGTGGGGGGAAGCCATACTCTCGGCAAATTACATCTTAAATAAGATTCCCCATAAAAAGATGGATAAAACTCCATATGAACTATGGAAGGGTCGAAAACCATCTTATAAATACGTCAAAGTGTGGGGGTGTTTGGCTAAGGTTGAAGTACCTAAACCAAAACAAGTCAAAATTGGACCCAAGACTGCTGACTGCATTTACATTGGACATGCAAATAACAGTAGTGCCTATAGATTTATAGTGCACAAGTCTGAAATTCCCGACTTAAATCGTGGAATGACAATTGAATCGAGGAATGCAATATTCTTTGAACACATTTTTCCATGCAAGGAAGTAGTTGAAGGAAGTTCTAAAAAGAGAACTCACGAAGCTACAAGTGCTCCAACTCAAGATGGAGATGAACCGAGACGTAGCAAGCGAGCCAAAGTCCCTAAGACATTTGGTCCCGAGTTTCTAACTTTTATGTTGGAAAATGAACCAAGGACTATTCAAGAAGCATTGTCTAGTCCCGATGCACCATTATGGAAAGAAGCCATAAGAAGTGAGATCGATTCCATTATGCAAAATCATACTTGGGAACTAGTAGATCTTCCACCGGGGTGCAAACCTTTAGGATGTAAATGGATCCTTAAAAGGAAATATAAGGCCGATGGGTCAATTGATAAATTCAAGGCTAGATTAGTAGCTAAAGGATTTAGACAACAAGAAGGATATGACTTCTTTGACACGTATTCGCCTGTGACAAGAATCACTTCAATACGTGTGCTCATTGCTATTGCAGCATTGAACAACCTTGAGATACATCAAATGGATGTTAAAACGACATTCTTGAATGGTGACCTCGATGAGGAAATATACATGGAACAACCTGAAGGGTTTGTGGCTCCCGGTTAAGAGAAAAAGTGTGTAAACTTGTGAAGTCATTATATGGTCTCAAACAAGCACCTAAACAATGGCATGAAAAAATTGATAGAACTATGCTATCAAATGGTTTCAAAATAAATGAATGTGATAAATGCATCTACATTAAAGGTTCAACAAACGATTTTGTAATTGTTTGCTTATATGTAGATGACATGTTAATTATGGGGAGCAGTCACGATATTATCGTGAAAACAAAGAACATGTTAAAAAATAATTTTGACATGAAGACATGGGCCTAGCCGATGTTATCTTGGGAATCAAGATAGCTAGGACACCAAATGGAATTGTCTTAACACAATCTCATTATGTTGAAACTGTGCTTAAGAAATTCGATGCATTTGAGAGTTCTCCTGCAAAAACACCAGTAGACTTGACTTTACATCTAGCTAAGAATCAAGGAGATGCTGTCTCTCAAATTAAATATGCAAAGATCATAGGAAGTCTAATGTACTTAACAAATTGTACTCGTCCCGATCTTGCATATGCCGTGAACAAATTAAGTCGATTCACGAGCAATCCAAGTGAAGATCATTGGAAAGCAATCACTAGAGTACTTAGATACTTAAAGCATACCATAAACCTTGGATTGCATTATACAAGATATCCAGCTGTGCTAGAAGGCTATAGTGACGCAAACTGGATATCGGATACGAACGACTCCAAATCCACGAGTGGATATGTATTCATGATTGGTGGGGGAGCCGTTTCATGGAAATCTTCTAAACAAACGTGTATAGCGAGATCCACAATGGAATCCGAATTCATAGCTTTAGATAAAGCCGGTGAAGAAGCCGAGTGGCTTCGTAATTTCTTAGAAGATATTCCTTGTTGGTCGAAACATGTGCCCGCAGTAATGATTCATTGTGACAATTTATCTGCGATAGCAAGGGCTCGAAACACAATGTACAATGGTAAGTCTAGACATATCCGTCGAAGACACAACACCATAAGGCAATTGATCTCTAATGGGATTATTTCAGTTGACTTTACGAAGTCAAAAGATAATTTGGCCGATCCTTTGACGAAAGGAATCAATAGAGATCAAATGTGCAAGTTAGTGATGGGAATGGGTCTAAAAAACCCACAAATAAAGAAAATCCATGATGGTAACCCAACCTTGTAGATTGGAGATCCCAAAATCTTGGTTCAATGGGCAAACTAAGTTATGGAAATTCAAATTGTGCACTTGGAAAATTATTCCTACCATTCCCTAATCCAAGTGCTACCTGTCGAGTGTGGTAAGGGTAAGTCAAGTGACTTTTAATGATTCCTATGACCTTTTAAGGTGGAATATAACAGGATATTCTTTTAGGAGATCACCTATGTAAGTGTGAAGTATAGGGCCGCTTCGATGAAACACTTATGAATCCAAGAGTGGTCCAAGGCCGAAATGGACAACACGTGAGAACAAAAGACGTTAGAAATGTTATTGTGTAAATGTTGCTGCCTTGGTTTACACAAATAGTTGATTAGTTCAAGACATCACGTTCACTAAACAACAAGTAAATCCAACAACATATTACTAAGGAAGGTTCAAAGCCATAAGCTACCTCTCCCGATGCAATAACAAATCGTTTGGACTTTAAGTGTCTGCATGCATTATTCTCATTCATGTGGGGGATTGTAGGAAAATTGAGGTGTTTACCTCAAATGTGGAAAATATTGAAGTACAAATTCCGTGATCGTTTCAAGGAATAAATTATGAATCTACGCTTTGAGTAGATAATTGTAGTGTGTTTAAATGCTCAAATCCAATATGGGATGAATGAGAAATAAATGCACAAAGTAAAGTACTTCAATGAGCTAAAGTGAGCTCAAAGGGCTTGGTGGGAGGTGAAAAGTCACTTGTCCCACATCACGAAAAAAGCATTAATGAGAACACCTTAAATAGTGTTAAATGGATAGCTAGAGGTATAATCAAGTGAGGGATCAAGTACCAAACCACACGCGCGCCGCCGCCGCCCGCCCGGACCGAGACCGAGCCCGAGCCCGAGGCCGTTGGACTTTGGACTTTGGACTTTGGACTTTGGACTTTGGAAATGTTTGGTTTGGGCCTCAAAGTAATTAAGTTTTTGGGCTTAATTAATTAATCTAGCATCATATCCGAACAGGTGGCAGTTTAAACACGAATTGGTGTTTAACCCCTGCGAAAAGACACAATGCTTTTTCAGCTCCTTTCAATTGCTAGAGTTGTGTCTTTTGTAACGCAACTTTCTGAAAACTATAAATACAGCCCTAGTTTTCCAGCAATCTCACTCAATCATCCAAGCATTCATAAGCATAAGCATATTCGTTGCATAATATCTTTCTTTCGTGTCAATAAAAGTCCAAAACGTCTTTTCGTTCGTTGTGTTCCAGCAGTTGTTGTGCTGCTCTGTTGGAACTGTAAGTCGTTGTATCTTGGGAGACAATTGCCGAAACCGAAGCACTGTTGCGGGGCAATTTTGTCTTAAGGAGAAAGAACAAAGTTCTTGCCTCGACTTTTCTCTGTTTATCTTCAAAAATTCCTATCTCGAAAACCATATATAAATAACACAATTAACACATACCCCTATGTCAACAAGTCAAAGCTACAAACCCCCCTACCATCATATAGTGTGAAGTACGCGCGATTTTGTGTGACTTGTTAATGGTTTCTTGACTTGAAAACTCTCATATGCCCTCATAAATTATTTTATGCATAAATATAAATTCAATTGAACTTAAATATAAATAATACAAATATTTGGGTTAAATTGCAAATTTCAGAAACTTCTTTAAAAGTGAAAACCCTCGATTTCCTCTCCAGCACGGAACCCATCCACCACGTGAACATGTTCCGGCAACCGAGTCGAACGTGCTTCGATTGTTTCCCCATCATTGTGTTCCAGCGAAGTGTTGTTCATCTTACTCTACCGATTTCGTCCATGGTGGATGACAGAAATGGTGAGTGCTGCTCAAGTTCCACCATCAATTTTGACCCAAAACTTTTTTTTTTTCAAAAAAAAAAATTTCAAAACTTTTTTTTCCCGCCGGATTCCGGCGTTGAG